AACCCATCAACAAACACTTGCACTATCACCACAAAAAACCACCAGCCACCACCAACATCACTACCACCTTACCACCACCATCACCACCACTAAAAACAATCATTTGCAAAGTAAAAACAAGTAAACCACCACCAACCAACACACAAAGCCACCACAAAACTCCATCTAAGTAGATCATATCGGAAGAGGAAGAAAATAACACCCCAAAACCCCTAGAGCCGGCACCAATGTTGCTGATGCTACAGTTACTGAAAGAGGAAGAATTAACACCCAAAAACCACAAACCCCTTGGTGCCGGTACCGACCTCGCTGATGCGAACTCTCGGCACTCTCGATGCCAGTAGCATCAGCCAGTGTAGCTCCTTTATTGCTGGAGTTTGAATGGGTAGCCGACACTCAAAGGTTGAACCACAACCTTCAGAGCCCCCACCGCCCCACCCCTAGAGTTTTGTGAGGAAGATAAATCGCGGGATGTGCTCCCAGCAGGCTAGAGAACAAGAATTACCTGTACATTGTGCCTACAATGAGTTTAATTCCATGTCTCAGGAATCGAACCCTCACACTGCAGTTGTTAGCAAGGCATGAGATAACCTCACTCCAATCCTTTGCACCACTGAGCTATGCCCCGGAAAGCAATGGGTAGCCTACGCTCAAATAGAGAGAAGGGGGAAAAGAGAGAGAGAGAGAGAGGAAAATAATTAAAGTTCGGGTGGATGGAGGTAGGGTGGGTATATAGATTAATTTAATTTTAAAATATTATTAATATAATATTAAAAGGAAACTATTATATGATTTTTGAAAAAAAAATATTTGAAATATGATTTTTGAATAAAATTCTGGGTAAGTGTAATTTCTAGTTGAAAAGTCCTAAAATGGCTTGGCCCACACGGCCATGGCCCATATATATCCTTCGTTTTTGCTTTCAAGTCCTCCACTATTTGAACTTCAGGTCCCTCACTTTGATCTTGTACATTGTGGTCCCCATATTTTTACTTTTCTATCAATTACGCTTTCGATAAATTGCAAAACTTTTAGAACTTCTACACTTTGGTACCTAAAATCACATTTTAGTATGCTTTTAGTCATTTTTCTCTTCTTTCACATTGTTCTTCATCAAATTGGAGGTTGTCGCCACTACAAAGATAATAATACAATTGTGATTAGAAAAATTTGTTTACTTCATCAATATATATCAACTCGTTTCAGGCCTTCAATAAGTGTGTGAAAACATACTTATTACTAATCTCTCTTGTTCACATGTGTGTATTGTCATTGAATGCTAGACAATTAGACAATTGTGGAGTAAAAAGATCGTGATTCACAAAATCATGTAAAGATCATGATTATTTGTGGTCAAGATTCTCAAAGGAATTTAAAGAATTTGTTAAAGCATAGAGGTATAATTCTAATCACATTTGCTATATAAAACACAAACATGATCCTTAAAGAGAATTGAAATTATTTTTAAATTCTACATTGTATGTATAAGTAAATTCATAGCTAGTCTCTCTCTTTCCCCATTCATATATGTTGATATGACCTAATAAGACAAAGTAGATAGGAGACCCTCATTAATGCGGAACAATTAGAAAAGAAGGTTATAAAACTAATTCGAAAAGAGGAGGAATAGCAAGCTCTGAAAACATGCGTAACTTTTAGATGAGGTGTCCGATTTGTGCGAACAAATCAATTCGGAAGCATTTATATCAGTTCTCTACAATTTTCTAGGGTGACAGCCATTATCTTCAAACTTTCGAGATCAAATTCCATTGTTAGGGGTTCGATTTAACATTTTTCTAAAAAATTCCGCAGTCATTTTTGAATAATAATGACTGTGGCATTAAGATTTTGGTTTGACGCTTTAAATGTGTTAAGGGCTAGATACATACATACTCACACTTCTAATTTTTACAAACGCATGCATATAGCCCAGACTTGAATAGTCAGCAGTACCTGATGTGCATGCATAAGAGTGACCCACGCACTGCCAAATGCATTTATAAATGACAGACCATAATTACACACATATGTCATTATTTTCTTCTTGAATCGTGACTTTGAATCGAAGCATATATATCATACGCATATATCCCCCAACAAAGAAAAGGGGAATAATAGAAAGATTATTTCCCAATATTTGACAGATTCTAAACATGAATTCAAGAAAGATCTGTTTCAATTATGGGTCGTACAATTTCTGCTCTAATGAATTTGGAGATGGTATGTTTGAATTTTAAATCAATTACAGTTTGATTCTATATTATAGCATGATGGAGATGGAGATGGAGATGGAGACGGAGACATATTTGACTCAAAGTATAATGACAAAAGGTATTGTTAGAACCAATGTTCTAAAAAACATAATGCGAGATGATGCGTGGAGACCAAACTTTAACTGATGCGCGTCTAGGCGAGGCATAGGTGTAAAAAAAAGTTTTCTTATTTTAATATTACTTTAAATTTTTAATCAATTTAAAAGTTATTTAACAATACATAAAAATTATATTATCAAATATAGTTTTAAGAGCTTAAAATGATAAATATATTTTTGAATATAAACATGATATATTATAATAGAGCTAATTGACATATTTGGAGAGTTTTTAATTTTTATTAATTAGTAAAAGATAGGAAAATGATTAATTAACTTAATAAAATATAAATAACTATTTATACAATAATACAATACACTATAGTCAAATTAAAGGTACAATACGCTGTAGTCAAGCTAAATGTTCAATGTACTACAACCAAGTCAAAGGGATTTTCATCCCACGTCAAAAGTTTATTACAAAATCCTTGGAGAAGCCCTCTATAAATTAGTGGACGAATAAGTAGGTAAGCAGCTTTTTGGACCTTTTAATCTATTGGCTTAAAAGTTGAAAATTTTATGTAGTGTAATAATAATAATAATAATAATAATAATTCGCTCCAAGGCGTGCTTAGGCGAGCCTAGGTGTAGCTCAAAGAGATTAACTGAAGTGTTGACCACTAAATTATTGCATAGGTCCTAAGAGCGACGTTTTTCCCACACCTCGCGCCTAAGAGTCGTCAAGACTCGCCATTTGAAACACTAATTAGAATGAACAACAAAGTTCTTACGTTGAACTATCTCTTGATGGAGAAAGGTCTTTTTTTTTTT